TAAATATATTTATATGTACTGGTATAACAAACACTTATACCCCACTTCCCACATGTAATAAATGTTACTTCATCAGTTTGCTTTTCTAAATTTATTTATTTATTTATTCTATCTGAAAGGAGAGAGAGAGAGATGATAGAGTAGATAGATATAGACAGATCCGTCCATCTTCAGGTAGATAATAGAGAAAGACAGACAGACAGATAGACAGACAGACATACAAAGACCCCATCTGCTGGTTCACTGTTAGGATCCCCACAATTGCCTGGGCTAGGCAATTGACTTTTCACATTTAAATGTTTTCTTCTTAGGCTTTCTGTACCAGATCCAAAAATGATTGCGAAGAAATGACACATTTGCCATTTTAGAGTTGCAATTGTTTGAGTGATGGTGTGACAGTTCGTCCCCTTCATGTTTATGTTAGTAGCCAAGAGCTATATTATTTACACAGACAGGAGCTGTAAACTCAAGCCAGGTCTGCCACCAGGGGGGCAGGAACCCAGTCATTTGAGCCACCATAACTGCCTTCCAGGGTTTACATTAGCAGGAAAACAGAATTGGGGCTGGAGCCAGCACTGGAACCCAGGCACCCTGATGAAGTAGGCGGGAATCTGAACCACTAAAAAAAAAGGGAGTGGGGAGGAAAAATACTCATTTGCACTTCATGTTTTTTGAAATAAAAATTATATAAAATGCTTTTGAATACAAATTGAACTTAGAGCTAGTTTCATGTTTTTCTATTCCACATATAGGCACTTGCTGACATGCATTCAGAGTTCAGCAAGTTCATATATGGAAATATATATTAATGTATAAAATGGATCTGAAAATAACATGTAATATTTTAACTATTTTAACATAGCTTTACTTTATTAATATGTTTTCAAAAATATACAGTATTATTAGATTTTATATAATCAACATATAATGGAAAATTGATGTCATTGCCTTGGCAATCAATATTTGGTACATTTAGGTATACTCTACTTATTTAGATACCATATAATGAGATATATGTTAACTTTAGACCCGTCCTGTGCCTTGCTGACTGCCTGCAGACATTTGGGTTGTTTCAGAATTTTGCCAGCAGGCCAGCATTGACAGCCCTGCATTGGGCATTGTTGTATATATCTTGGGAGCAGATGGATGTGTTCCTTTGGGTCCGTACCTTGAACTAGAATTGCTGGCTCATTGGTATGGGCCTGCTTAATTTTATTAGACATTTGCAAATTACTCTCTAATGTGGTTTTGCAAATTTACATTGTCAGTAGCTGTGTCTGAGAGTACACATTGTTTATCAACGTTATGAATATTTGATTTCACACTTTTCATTTTTGAAAATCTGATGGATATCACATGCTATCTAATGACTATATTAATTTGGATTTTTCTGATTATAAATGAGGCCAAACATGTTTTCATAAGCTTATTTCTATTTGGGCTTCTTTTGCACATATCCTATGCATATTTTTGTTCTTTTTAAAGATTGCATTATATTCATCTTACATTTATACGTTACCTGTGAGCTAAACTTTTCTTCTACAGGGCTTACATTTAATTTTATTTATAGCATCTTTATTGTGAGAAGATTCTAATACTAATATAGTTAACTGGATAAGTTATTCCTTTTAGGGTTTGTTCTATTTGTATGCTCTTTGAAAATATCATCTTTAACGCCAGGTCATATAATTTATTTTAGAAATTATACAGTATTGATTTTCACATGTAGGTCTTTTATCCATTTGGAATTTATTTTGGAGATTGCCATTTAACCCATACAGATAAACAGTTTTTATAGAAACATTTATCAAAGAGTCTGTCTGCCATGATTTGTTTAAGTAAGCATTTTATTCTACAATAATTTATATTTGTTGAAAATTATACAGATAGTACCAAGTCTCTACTTTCCTGTATTGTTAATGTTTTTACATTACTGTGGGACATTTGCCTTTGGCTAAAATCCAACATTGGTGTAGGATTATTTACTGAACGCCATAGTTTATATGGATTTCTCTACTTCTGCCCAGTTAAAATGATCCCATCCTAGGATCCCATCCAGGACAGCACATTATGTATTTGGTCTTTGTGTGCCATTATTTCTCCTGTGGTCTTGACGGCTTCTCTCTCTTTGCTATTCATGACCTTGGCAATCTTGAATCATATTTTGTAAGGTCCCTTAAGTTGTCTTTTGCTGGTGCGTGTGTTTCCTGGTTAGACTGGGCTCATGGGTTTAGGGGAAGAAGACTGCAAAGGAGAGCTGTTCTCCCCCATGAAGTCATGTTTGTATGCCTTGCACGTTACCCACCACTGGTGATGTTAATCTTGTTCTCCTGGCCAAGGTCGTGCCTGGCAGGTTTCTCCAAAGTGAATTTACATTTTTGTATTTGTGGAAACAAATATTCTACTCTTTGGAAGCAAGTCATTAGGCACTGCCCACACTCAGGATTGAGGGCATATTAATTTTCACTTCCTGGAGTTGGAAGCATCTACCAAGTGATCTGGAATTCTTCTCTAAGGGAGCTTTATATCAACTCTCCCAGTCACTTAGTTATTGAGTCTTAATTTATATTAATACAGGTTCATGAATATTTTATCTTCGAATTATAACCCAATACTAACATATTCACTTCATTGTTCTTATGGTTTCATTTCTGGCCAGTAGGAGCTCTTTGAGTCAGCTCCCATGTCCTTTGGAATATTCCCATTTTTTTAGTATCCTGTGGGATGAGGCCTGGAAGGAGGAGAGTGGAGGGGGTTCAACTTGTGCTCTAGATCTGCCTGCTGCTCCATCCCCTCGCCTCTTGCTTCACCCTCCACACCCCAGACTCATTTGTCCTGGTACTGGCTCTTCTGCATGATTGGGAGGTCCTGGGCCTCCCAGAATTGGCTGACAGCACCATCTGGGGCACCAAAGGGAGGAGCAGGTTGGTGGTGTAGGCCACCATGTGTCTTGCCATGGTGGACATTAGGACACAGGCTGTGAAGCCTGGTCTGCCTCTTCCAGGGCCACAGGACCCCTCCTGTGACCACCCATGTTGACCCACTACCTTCTCTTGGCTCATCAAGATCAAGGCCATCATGCAATGTCACACAGACACTGGACTGTGTCTCTGTCACCACAGTGCCCCTTACAGGTGGTTTGTCAATGGGTCCCCATGCTCATTCATGTCACATGTGCTCATTCACAGTCACTTTCTCCTCTGGTTATGGGACTCAGTCCTCTTGTACCTTCTCCTGAGCCAGCAGGGTGGCATTTCCTCTGGACACATTCTTACCTTCTCCACTTCCATACCATGCTTGTCATGTTTGCCCAGCAGACCAGGGTTGCCCCAATTTCTGCTGTCTGGAAAGTCCTGCTCCCATGCCTCCCCAGGGAACTGATCTCTTTAAGACACAATTCAGTTATCCCTTCCTCTGAAAGGGTCGCTCCACACCCCTCCAGTTGGGTTGAAGAACAGCTGGAAGCATTCCCCTTCCGGTCTGGAAGGAGTCATGGCTGCTAAATCCAGAAACTTCAGAGTCTCCTGAGAAGATGTGCACCTCTGTAGCTGTGAACAGATTCCCAATGGAGACACTACTGTAACTGGAAAGTCAGGGCACTTGGACAGACCTGGGTTAGGGGTCACTTGTAGGGCATAGCAGAGGAAGACGCAAGCCTGTGAGCAGACAGGTGGAGGAGAGGCCTGGGGGAACACAGGAAGATGCCATGGTGCTCCAGGGAGCATCAGAGGAGAAGGTGCAGTCCAGAGTAGGTCTCAGAATGCCCCGGGGGAGGGGAACATTGAAACTCTGCCTCCACCATCACTGCCTCTGTGGTTTCCACAGGGGAATTCCAAGGCCTTGCTGTGATGGGCTCGCAGGCTGGATAGAAGACTGGATTAAATAACACATTAAGCCATTCATGTTCTTTGAGAGCCTGTTTCCTCTTATGTCAGGTGCAGAGTAACTCTAATGACGCATGCTAGGCAGCAGTGTGGGACTCAGCTGAGTGTCGCTCCCTCTCCTTTATCCATGGAGAGAGAAAGTTCGTTGCTAAGGGTGTCATTTGAATGTGAAGGAATATAAAGCACAGTTGAAGAGGAGAGGCTCTATTGTTACTGAGAACGTTAATGGTGAGAGGAAGGGAAGAGACAGCCAGGAGCTTGCATCAGCGGTAGTGGCACTGTTGGGCAGGGGAAGGTGTTGGGGGATTGCATGTTGGAGTTATCATTTTAGGATGAGGCAAATCGGATCAAGCTTTTAGACTGAGTGGATGGGGCAAGCGTTTGGTACAGCAGTTAAAGTTGCTACTTGAGATGCCTGCATCCCATATCTGTATCCATATCTGCTTCTGATCCAGTTTCTCACTAATGCCCATTTTTGGAGGCCACAGGTGATGGCTCAAGTACTTGGATCCCTGTCACTCACCTGGAGACCCAGATGGAGTCCTGGTTCCTGGCTTTGGCCCAGCCTAGCCCTGCCTGTTGTACATATTTGGGGAGTGAACCAGCAGGTGGAAGATTGCTCTTTCTCTCTCTCTCTCTATCTCCCTGTGTTTCCAAGGAACACAAATAAAAATAATATTGAGAGGAGCCACAGGGGGCTGCTGAATGAGGCTAAGTCTCTAAGGGAAACTGAAGAAAATGAAAATAAAGCTGAAATCCAGATGGAGAGGGAAGCAGGGAGGACGGGGCCGCTTGTGGTGAGAACACTAGCGAGGCCTCCGTTTGGGGAAGGACTCAAGCCCATCAGCAGGTATTGCATCTTCTTAAAATCTGCTCTTCTGAGTTTCTAATGTCTGCTTCTGGATATGAGAAAGGGCCCAAGGACACCACAATTCACTTTGAGTGTGTGTGGATGGGATAAATGAGGGTGTGAGGCCAAGCCCTTTTCCTTAGTGACATCACCGAGAAGAAGACCTTCTTTGCCCACATCACAGACAAGGTTTTCTCCTGGAGTGCCCTGACCAGTAGAAGGATGATCGTTCCTCTTGGCACCCAGTGGGGCTCTGAGACCTCCAATGAAAGGCTCATGATGACCTGACGTTTTCCCAGGAAGCCAAACCCTAGGCCCTGTTTCAACTTGGGCCAATTTAGAGTTTGGATGTCAAGGGTGGGGGGCGCAGTGCTTAGAGTAAGGAAATGGGGCTCTTGGCCATTGAGTGCCAAGTCACTAAGGGATAAGAACTGGCATCCTGCTTGTGTGTATTGTGATTGAGTTCATTCTTCTGTAGATTTGAGTACATTCTGGGAGTCTGGGGGAGACTCCAGCACCAGCCCTCTCTCCAGCTGCTCGAGTTTTTGTCCCCATGTGCTCATTGCTCTCTGATCTCTTCAGTAACAAATGCACCATGTCCTTCTTTCCCTGTTGTGGTCTCCTTTCCCTGGAGTGGTCTCCACAGTTTCTTTAACCCTACATTCGACTTTTCATTCACAGCTCCTACTCACTCCTATCTTGCAGAGACCAAAGATGTCAAGTCTCCATGTAAGGTCCCATCCAGCTAAGATTCTAAAAAAGTATTGAAAAGAGGAGGGGTGAGAATCACATAAACTTTTATAATTGGCTGATGTGGGTGTGTATCTTCTTGTCATTGCTACCTTTGGCTCCTAGAGAGAAATATCAACCAGGCATTGAAAATTATGAAAATAGACAACTATGCGCATGCATCCAGCACATGATGGGTCTTCTATTAAAATGACTGTGTCTCTTTTCCTTCCCCATCTCAATTCCCAATTCTGTGCTTTTTTTCTCAAATTGCTTTTTGAGACCAAGAGACAAACAGCAACAGAAAACTCCCATTCCGTGGTTCAGTCCATAAATGCTCTCAGTGGCCTGGGCTGGGCTGGGCCCAAGTTGGGAGCTGGGAGCTCAATTCAGATCTCCCACGTGTACAGCGGAGATCCAGCTACTCAATCTATCACTGCTGCCCACCAGGGTCTGCATTAACAGGAATCTAAACCGGAGCTGGAGCCAGGAAGGGAACCTAGCTACTCGAGTAGTGAATGTGGGTATCTCAACCAGTGTCTTAGCAGCTAGGTTAAATGCCCACCCTTCCATTTCCAGTGCCAGGAAACTACTGAGCCCCTAGCCTGACTTTTTTCCTCAATGGAATCACAAGGATGACTCATGCCTTGGCTCTTCCCACTGCTCTCGGGTCACCCTGGGCTGAGCATGCTGACTGGGGCAATCTCAGCCTGCCTACAGCCAGCTCATTCGGACTCTGGTCTTAGTTAAAACTTACTTACCCCTGTATAATTTTGTTTTCTTTTTTTTCCATAATTGAGATTTTATTGGTGTTGAGAATCAGCACACACATTTTAATTTGTACACAATTCTTAACATACGTACCAAAAATGTAAAAAGCCATGAATTGTCATTCTTTTTTTTAAAAGTTATTCCAGTGACTTTCCAGCTTCAAATTTGGAGGCAACTCTTCTTTAAGAGGCTATCAAGTACAAGTATCTTCAAATGTTGCTGTTACTTAAATCCCACCCATTCACAATGTAATAGCATATACACGACACTCAAATTTTCAATCTTTCATGGCACATTAACAAAATCATTAGCAAAACTGGACTACCACAACCAAAGATGTTACAGAGTGCACATGGTTCTGACAGAACAAGGAGTGGTTTTCTGTAGGAAACAATTCTACAAAACATGGGAGAAGTAACTGAAAATATTCAAGACAGATTAAATGCACAATTGAGACTCCAAATTGCCATTTAGTATGCGCTGTACTGTAAGATATAAAAACCACCCCCACCTATGGAATGTTAAGCTGACACCCAAGACAGTCAAAGCCTCCCAGAATTCAATATGCCACTATTTTCTGGTTGTACCAAAAAATAAACAACCAGCAAATGATTTCACCTCTTAAAAAAAATCATTTACACTTAAAAAATGGAATGAGGTGGGCTTCCCTCCTTCTTAAAAATGTTTCTAGAGCTACTAAAAAACTTGCATTTACAAAATAGTTGATAAAAATATTCCTCTGAATTGTACAAGAAGGGAGCCAGGGACCACTGATAACACATGGTGTATGGTATTAATCGGACTTGGCTTCTTTCTCTTCTGCTTCATCAGAGGCTGGACTCTCCTCGTTTTTCGTTTCTCCGTTTTCTGCAGGCAAGTCTTCTTTAGCTTCTTGGTTAGCCACCTCGGCCTGTTTTCCCTTTGCTCCTCTCTTCCCCTTTGCTTGCACTTTCTTGTCTGATGACTTATCCTTCCCCGCGGCCTTCTTGGGCTTCACTTCCACCTTCGCGGGGGCCGGCTTCGCCGACAAGCGTGCCGACCTCCTCTTGGGCTCCTCCTTGGCTGCCCCCTCGGCAGAGCTGACCTTCCTCTTGGGCATCCTGGCGGTGCGGAGGGCGCATGCCTGGTGCCTGCGGGCCGCGGCGCGCCGAGAGCCTTCGCGGAGCTGGGCTGCCTTGCCGCTGCCGCGGCTCCCGCCGCCCGAGCTGCTGGGACCCCTAATTTTGTTTTCAAATGGTGCTCTGGTTTAGGTGCAAAGATTGGTTGATTGGTTGATTGATAATTGATTTGAAAGGCTGAGTGGCACACACAGAATTTTCCATCTGTTGTTTCACTCTCTAAGCAGCCACAATGGATGGGGCTGGGCCAGGCTGAAGCTGGCAGCCTGGTTCGCCCTCCTAGTCTCTTCCACATGGGTGGCAGGGACCCATGCACTTGGACCATCTTTCACTGCTTTCCCAGGCACGTTAGCAGGGACCTGGAGAAAAAGTGGAGCAGCTAGGACTCAAACCAGCCCTGTGGTATGGGAATGTTGACATTACAAACTGTGGCTTAATCCACTAGCCCCATCCTAGTCCCACTTGTCCTGTTTTTCTGATGAACACTTTGGCATTTAACATTTAGATTCAGAAATAAATTCCAGGCTTAGCACTGAAGAGGTGGGCTGTGTTCCTGAGTCTGAGTCTATCAGAGGACACCTGACCCACAGTCTAAAGTCATCATCATGGGCTGCTTAGAATGTGCCACAGACTCAGGGCCTGACAAATGGGTGTCTCTGCTCATCTGAAAACAATACCTCCTGAGGATCAAGTGTTCTCTCAGGCCTTCTTTACTTTATTCCTTCTCAAAACAGAAAAATGATGGTTCTGATAACTGTGCCTGCCATTAACTAATGGCAAACCCAGTGACTAATTGTGTTTGAATCTGATGAGCAAGAGAAGTTAATTGTCCTTGCAAAGCCTGGCTCCTGAGGACTTGGGGGGAACGGAAAAGCAGGCGTGCAAAGACTGTAGGTGACGTGCAGCTTTAGGCATCAAGTCAGACCTTTGGGACGTCAAGGGTGCTTACGATGAGCTCAGCGCCACACCCCACAGCTTTCTGGGACCTGCACGCTAGGTACTGGGAGTGGCTTGTCAGAAGCTGCAGCTCCACTGTGACAAGAAGCTTCAGACTTTCTGGCCTCGAATTGGGAACCCTTAGGAGCAGAGCCTGAGCTGGGAAATCTTGCACAAATGGCTTATGGGTGGAGGGGGCATTTCCAGTGAAGCAGGATGAGGGACACAGAGCAAGGCAGGGAAAGAGTGTGGTGTCAGCTGGAAACAAGCTCCAGCCAACCCCAAGAGAGCAGAGTTCTGGAGGGCAGGTTTCCCCACAGACGTAGATCTGCCTTAGGCAGAGGGGCTGCCTCTCGCACTGCATCTCCAAGGGAGGCAGCTTCCCTCAGTGGAAGGCAACCCTCTTGTGCTGTTTGCAGCTGACCTGCATGGGAGGGATGAGCACATCTTGCACACAGGGCTCTAGGCCATGCACCAGCCATGTCTGCGACAGTTCTGGGTGACCTCCCTCCCATGAACAGGGACTCAGGTCATAACTGTGTTCTTTGCTGCCACAGGAAACCTGCAGATCAGATCCTTGGAGGCATTGCACAGACTTTGTAGTGGAAACAGCACGGGCAAGAGAGGAGGCAGAATTTGTCTGTTGCCCTTTGACCAAGCCAAGGGTTTAGAAACCAGGGCCCAACTGTGGATCTTCAAATCTCAGTCATGGCTTCACAGGCAGGTCCCAGCCCTCACAGGGTCACTGGACACTTAATTGCACCTCCCCGTGGTCCCCCGACATGGACCCCACGCTGGCCTCTGGCTTTGCCCAGTAGGTCAAGAACCAAGAGTATCCCTCTCATGAGCACACTAAATCTGGCCAGTTCTGCCTGTGAGGATTGATATCACACCAGGCTTGGACGTGACTTTATAGCAAGGGTCCCACCAGACACTGAGGGACACTGTCCTTCCGGTCCCTGGAGTTTGCCATTGAACTCACTGTGCTTGCGGTCTGCCTCTGTTTGGGAGAGATAAAGATGAGGCGGGCAGTGGGGGCTCATTCTTCGTGACACACACACACACACTGTAATTAACTTTCTTTGTCATTTCCTCAGATGTCGCCCCTAAGGAACATCAGGCATGGTATGCATATGGGGTCAGGGGACTCTCCACGTGACATAGGGACAATGCCACTCCTCCAAACAGCCTTTCCCAACAACCCTTATCCCAAGTCCCTGCTCTGTGTCTGAGCTCTTCCTTGTCCCTTAGCCTGGGAGAAGCTGGGGCAGATGCAGAGGATGGGGGACAGGGAGAGGCCACTTGGCTTCCAGGCTTTCTCTGCAGGGTCAGTTGCTGGCTCTGAAGTTTCCCCTCACTCCCTCCTAGTCCTGGCTCTCAGGCATGTGCTGCCCCCAGGAAGACACCATCATTCCACTTCTAGGCCTCAGAGTGAATAGTTTCTGAAACTGTGGCTGGGAATAGGAGTCTCTTTTATCTGGCCAGTTTTCCTAAGATGTAATGACACAAACAACATTGAGCCTGAAGGATGGTCCCTTATCTCCTCTGAAACAGTTGTAAAGTCATCGATCCCAAAATGAGCTCTAAAATATAATTTTCAATATGCTCCGATGGAACATTTCAGTGCATTAGGCAGAACAATTCTGTGTGTCTGAGCGTCAGGCCCAGGGTTTGTCCTACATTTATCTCCTCCTGGGATAAGGGACCTAATATGTCTTTGATTAGGATTTGCATTAATAGTTAATGAGCCTCCCATTAGCATACACTGGGGGTGTCAGAGGCAGGTAATCCGTCTGACCTTGTTATGAATGGATTTAGGTAGCAATTATAAAACCCTACAGTGATCACTTTTAACTTTTCTATGGTAACTGGTTATGCAGTTCCACAAAATTTTAGCTCTGTGATCTTCAACTTCTCAGGGTCTGTTTGCTCGTCTTTTTTTTTTTTTTTTTTTTTTTTAAGATTTATTTATTTAGTAGAAAGGTAGAATTGGAGGAGAGACAGAGAAAATTCTTCCATCCAGTGGTTCATTCCCCAAATGGCCACAACAACCAGGGCTGCATCAGTCTAAAATCAGAAACCAGGAGCTTCATCTGGGTCTCCCCCGTGAGTACAGGGGCCCAGAGACTTGGGCTATCTTCCACTGCTTTCTCAGGCTTGGAAGTGGAGCATTCAGGACTTGAACCAGCATATGTATGGGATTCCAGTACTGCAGGCTGGGGCTTAGCCTGCTATGCCAAAGTGCCAGCCCCCTAGCTCATCTTTTAAATGGGGGAATTAATTGCAGTTGATTTTTTAGGACACTTACCTTAATCAATCCATATGATTTATGTGATGATTCCTGGAATATTCTAAAATGCCATGTGGGATACGCCACCTGAGCTTTTATAACCCATTCGCTCAAAAATAGGACTTTTCTCATTTATCTTTCATGAACTTTGAACTATGCAGAGGGAGATATGGAAGCCATGCATCTATCTGATCTCTCCTTCACTCACATTTCCTGGGTACCTGCTTTTGGAGTGATGTGCACCACCAGCTAGAGATGCATAGCTCATCCCCTAGTGAATTCAAAGGGCAAGCCAACTGGACAGCAGCTTTGTAACTCCAGGCCAAGTCACAGCTCATGAGCCAGAGAGGAGGCCCAGAGGGAAGGGCAAACGCACACATCCTGTTGCAAAAGTGGACAGAAGGAGGCTCAAAGGTAGTCATCCTTGAACCTGGACAGGTGTGGCAACTAGGGCATGTAGTGAAAGGCAGGAAAGAAGAACAGACAATTTTAAACATAGGTACAGTCTGTGAAAAAAAAAAAACAGATCTATCAGTTAAGAAGACTGATATGCAAAGAATTATTGGCTTGGAAAGAGCAGAGAGAGATTGAAATACTGGAAGCCCAGGAGGAGGCTTCTACAACAGACAGGTGACAAAAAGATTGAGTTAAAAGGGTGGTGGTTGGCATCGTTTCTCCTTCCCTAAAAATGAGGGGGAAGCATTGGCCATAAAATTCTGATTTTAAACAAAGCAGAAGATATGGTACAAGTGAGGTTTTCTCCATAAAAATTCATGTTGAAACCGCCTGCCGGTGCTGGAAGAGTGAGGTCCTTAGTGTCTTTCCCATGAGACTGGATCAGTTCTCAGGGTTGGGGATCTTAATGTCTTTCCCATGAGACTGCATTAGTTCTCAGGGTTGGGGACCCACTTCTTTGTCCCCCTCTTCCACATGCAAGTGCTTCCCTTCTGCTTTGTGCCATGAGCTGAGCAGATGTGGTCACTCATTGTTGGACTTTCTCCTGCCTGAAGCTCAAGTTCAGTTAAGCCTCTTTCCTTTGTAAGTTTTCCTGTTTCCGGTATGCTCTGATAGCACCAGGCAGTGGACCAAGATGTAGAAAAGCCCAGTGTGTCAGAGGCTGGAGAGGAAATATGGCAGTCAGACGGTGAGCTGGTTTGGGAAGAAGAGGGTTGAGCGATGGCATTCTTGCAGGAAATCCGATGTGAGGGGTGGGAGGAGGCCCAGACAGATGGAGGAAGGAACCAGAGAGAGAGAGTGCAGCCTTGAGATGGGGAAGCGGGGACAGGGAAATTGCCAGGAGGTAGGAGTCTGCGTAGTCTAGTGACTCAGCAAGATAAGGGACCCCATGAGCTGAGGGGGAGGATGCACCTGCTGGCCCTGAGCAGGGGGCACAGACACAGGACCTCAGGGGGCTTCAAGGCACTCCCTTGTGTTTCCCATGTTCTCAGTGTCTTCCCCTTGGTCCTTGTGGACCCTGGAGGCTGTTCTTTAATGTTCTCTGCTGCTAAAGTCCCTTGTTAAACTTCTGATATTTTGTTTCTGGCTTTTTTTTTTCCCTGAAGCTTCTCCCTCTGTTGGGGAGTGATATTCCTTCAATATGGAGAGGAAAAGATTCAAGGTTTGTTCTAGTGCAAACTGGGGGTTTGTGCTTTCTGGAGACCCCTTATACTCTGGGTTTGTGAAGAAGCCCCCAGAAATCCCACTGACAGGGCCAGTTTTGTTTTGTAGACCCTGTAATGCCATCATCCGCTATTGGAGTGCCTGTTCAAGTCCCAGCTGCTCCATTTCTGATCCAGTTCTCTGCTAATACACCTGGGAAAGCAGCAGAGGATGGCCCAAATGCTTGGGCCCTTGCATCCGCATGGGAGACCCAGATGAAGCTCCTGGCACCTGGCTTCAGCCTAGCCCAGCTCCAGCTATTGTGGCCATTTAGGGAGTGAACCAGTGGATGGAAGATCAATCTCTCATTCTCTCTCTGTCTCTCTCTGTCTCTGTCTCTGTATTTCTCTCTCTCTCTCTCTTTGCATTTCAATGGGCAGAGAGTCCTCAGCAGCTGTGTGTCCCTGGAAACTCACTATCCTCTCTGACTTCACTATCTCATTCTGTGAAGGGAAGGGATTTTACAAGATTTCCAACCCTGCCTC